TTTTTATTTAAAAAGCATTTTTAATGACTTCTCCCTTTAACGGAAGTAAGCTTTATATTCACGGAAATGCATTAAATCAAAACGAAAGTAGAGACGAGAAAGTAGAACATGTGGTGTTTTATGGTATTTGTGAGCAAATTACTGACTTGCAGGTGTAACAATGACCCCAAGATAGGACACAAGAAGGGAGCTGTCCTTCTACAAGTGCTTGATCAACTGATTTAATGGAAAGAAGTTCAGAGTAAGAAACTTAGCCAATTATGAAACATGGTAAACGTATCACAGGGGCTTACTCCCGAAATGTAAACAATATAAATTAAAAATATATATATTTTAAAACCCATGATCGTGATGACTGATACAATTTAGTAGATCTACAAATATTTCTTTCTCTTTATTAACATTGTTTACATTCCGGAAGCACCCCCTGTGATCGTTACCTGCATACGAGTTGGATACCTTATGTTATTAATATACTATCATACTATGGGTTAAAAAAAGTATTACAGAAACAAGTGCCTGTGGAAAGGGAGTAGACCATTTGATTCTGAAAGGGGGAAGTGACTTGCAGATTTTGGAAATAAATAATCTGAACCTCAAAATGTTGAAAACAAATAATTTGTCCTCCCCCCCCCTCCCCTTGTGTGTGTGTGTGTGTAAGGGGGGGGGGTTAAAATGTTATAAGTGAAGAAAAAATATATATAATTTTCTGTATTTATCATCTTGAAAATAGTTTGTTTGTCCTTCACTGGTATGGAAAGAAATAAGCTGACTTGAAAAATAGCCCTCTATCCCCCCCTTCTTAGAATGAAATGATTGTTCCCTTAATTTTGAAACATATTTAGCTTTCCTGTGCTGAAGGCTCAATTGAGCTTTGAATTCTGATCTAAATTTGTGGATCAAATGAAAGATATTCAAATTAAAGGTCCCGCTCTCTTTCAATAGGAGATAATAGATAATTAGTGAAAATTTTATGACATATTTGATAAATATAAATCTTTCTCAAGAACCACTGGGCCAGGTGAGTTGAAACTTATGTGCAAGCTTTATTATATAGTGTAGATTCACAATCATTCATAGCTTAATTGACCCTCTAGGGTAGTATGGGGCAACAATGGGTGATCAAGTTTTACATTAGAATATGTAGGAATTTTTTATAGAATCTTCTCAATCAAGCTAAGGCATAATTGTTCATACAGTAAAATCTCATTATCTCAAACTCGATTGGACCAAGAAAAAACTTTGAGATATCTGAGGATTCAAGGTATCAAGGGTATGTTACTTAAACAATAAGCAATTGGGACTTCGACATATCCATGGTATTTGAGATATCAGTGTTCTCGATACTGAAGTTCAACTGTATTTACATGGAAGCATTAGGTTGTGTATTGTACGTTCAATCAAATTTGTTCAAATTATGACATGGGGGGTATGGTGGGGCCATTATGAGCAATTAATTTACAAAGGAATATATATGGAAACAAATCTTTAAAAATCTCTTCTCAAGAACAATAAAAAGATAAGTAATATTTCTAAGGAAGCTGGGATCCTCATATCTCCGGGGCTAGGGTTGAGCCAGCTAGAACAGGCAAAACAATCAAGTTTTACTTCGGAAGATTGGGGAGGGGGGGGGGAATCTACTTATAAAGAACAACATGGCCATAGTGACTAAGGTGATCATTGTGGCCATGGGCCTTTTGATTTCATGTTTTTCTAGTGCAGTTGCAGACCACTGTATTTAATTTGAAAAGACCATTTACATGTAATGATTAATGAAACATCCCTTTCAAATTTTTTCTGTCATTGTTTCAGATATGAAGTGCAACAAGGGTATGTCCAACACACTTTCTGTGACACTTGTCTTCAAATGCGAAGGATGTCCAAGATTCCAGTGATTGTAACAAGTTAATATGATTACCTGAAAAAGTGCGAGTTAATTTTTACATGTGTATGTATTTTTAACTCACCTGAGCTGAAAGCTCAAGTGAGCTTTTCTGATCACATTTTGTCCGGCATCCGTCTGTCCATCTGTCTGTCTGTAAACTTTTCACTTTTTCGAGTTCTTCTCCAGAACCACTGGGCCAATTTCAACCAAACTTGCCACAAAGTATCCTTGAGTAAAGGGGATTCAGGTTTGTTCAAATAAAGGGCCAAGCCCTCTTTCAAGGGGAGATAATTATGAATTAGTGAAAAAATAATGGCATCATTTAAAAATCTTCTTCTCAAGAACCATAGGGCCAGGAAAGATGAAACTCATATGGAAGCATCCTCAGGTAGTGTACATTCAAGTTTGTTCAAATCATGACCCCCGGGGGTAGGGCGGGGCCACAATGGAGGATCAAAGTTTTACCTAGAAATATGTAGCAAAAATCTTTAAAAATCTTCTTCTCAAGAACAGCAAAGCCATGATGAGTCATATTTATATGAAAGCATTCTCAGGTAGTGTACAGTCATTCAAGTTTGTTCAAACCATGACCCCTGGGAGTAGGGCGGGCCACAATGGAGGATCAAAGTTTAACATAGAAATACATGTATATAGGAAAAATCTTTAAAAATCTTCTTCTCAAGAACAGCAAAGCCATGATGAATCATATTTATATGGAAGCATCCTCAGGTAGTGTAGATTCAAGTTTGTTCAAATCATGACCCCCGGGGGTAGGGTGGGGCCACAATGGAGGATGAAAGTCTTAAATAGAAATATATAGGAAAATATCTTCTTCTGAAGAACAAACCATGATTAGTCACTATGATATGGAAGCATCCTCAGTAGTGTAGATTCAATTTTGTTCAAATGATGACCCCCAGGGGTAGGGTGGGGCCCAATGGGGGATCGAAAGTTTTACATAAGAACATATAGAAAAAATATTTCTTCTCAAGAACAGAAAAGCTATGTTCAGTCATACTGATATGGAAGCATCAGGTAGTGTAGATTCAAGTTTGTTCAAATGATGACCCCTGGGGTAGGGAGGAGCCACAATGGGGGATCAAATTTTTACAAAGGAATATATGGGAAATTTTTTTAAAATCCTCTCAAGTACAACAAAGCCATTTGTTTTATTGACATGGAAGTATCATCAGGTAGTTTAAAATTCAAGCCTCCCCCCCCCCCCCCCCCCCGTAAATCTTTTCAATACTGAACTGATTTGTACTTTTGCCTAGCCAATGTGCTCAGGTGAGCGATGTGGCCCATGGGCCTCTTGTTTTATTACAACTTAGAAATATGCTGTTAACAACATTGAAACGTGAAATAGATCAATTCAAACAGACACTATGTTCTCTTAAAGTCTTAAAAGATTTTTCCTTGTGTATGTGTAGGTCACAAGTACAGTCTGCAGAGACAGCACTTCTATCATTGAGGGAAAGTCTGCATTGTCAAGTTCTTTGCATAGACAGAAAGGAGATAAGCAATGGGGTGTATGGACCAGACCAGGATTCAAGTCAGGGCCCCCTGAATCAGTAGTCATTTGCTCTACCAATTTAACTATCTGGCCACCAGAAATTGAACCCACCTGAATGCCTTATACGGATCTGTGGAACTCTGAAATATCCAAGTTTTATCAATAAGAGAGGTTTTACTCCACCTATGTCAAGTGACCATAATTTAACAATTCAATGTATACACTTCAACAACACTGCAACCCAAGAAGAAATTATTGTCCTATTATTAATCTTCTGGCTACAGAAAAAAAAATTACATGTGATGTTAGTATAGTTTTTTATTGTTTACTGATACTGTGGACCTTATTTAAACTTGTAGGATATCAATCTCCTATGCAGAGTTGTCATTTGTTCCTCTCTCAGACATGTTCCCAATACACAAGTATAAGTTTCATTTTTCATTCATCTATAAGTAATATAAAATTTTTGTCTTTTCTTTCATTTTCTTTTCTTTATGTTGTTCATATTTACCTTACACTTTTTTGAGTGAGGGCTGAATGAAAAGGCTGACTGTAGCCCAAACCCTGATTTCCTATTGAAGAAGCATTGGAAGTTTGTGCCTCATGCGTAAATTGAATATATGTGTGATGGCCTTGACCCAAGGTTATTTGATGAAGTTTGAGGTGATTTTATAAAATAAAAATTTATAAAAATCTATAATTCCTGTTTGACTGTATCTTGTAATTGAGAACATTTAGAGACTCACACTTATCGCAAATATTGAGCATGACCTGCGGTTATGACCGATCTTAAATCAAGGTCATTTTTCAGCAAGTTCAAGGTAACTGGCAGAAAAAGTGTATTACCTTTGTCAAATGCATAATTTGCAAATGATACTTGACACAAAGATTGCTTATGACTAAATGGTGTTTCATGACCTTATCCAATGTCAAGATTACTGGCAGTAAATGTGTGAAATTTGTTTTCATTTCATTACTCCCTCATGGACAAGTATTGAAACTGGAAACTTCAAAGATTATTTGTAAGCTGAAAGTACATCATAACCTTTACCCATGATATTGTGGCAAGTTCAAGGTCATTGGCCAAAAAACATTGCTCATGTCAGGTCTATAATGTCTTAATGGAGAAACAGTAAATATCTCTCTTTTATTTAAAGATTTATGATGAATAGAAGATGCATCTTTTCTTTCTTAACCAGTATCATTTTGGCAAGTTCAAGGTTACATTAAGAAAATTGATATTGGCATTTTCAGAAAAAAAATGTATAGGGGGTATAATGTTGGAGTTTGTTCACAGTTATTGAATTATATAGGCATAGTTCAATTATAGTATACATGCAGGTAGAATCCATGACAATTCAGCCATAACTGGAAGGTATTTTTGAATCCTTAATGATAGAATTTTTGCAGATTTAGATTTTACTGACTTAACTTGGGAAGACCTCTTAAATAAAAAAAGTCACATAAGTATAAGCATCAGGGCGACTATACTTTATGATATTACAATTTTTCATAGCATGTATTACCAGTACACAAAAAAAACAAGTATTGGTATGTACATGTAATAACCTTTTCATCTTGAATTCAAATAAAGATATTGAAAACACTGATACATTGTTTTATTGACTTGGGAATAAATTACTTTGTCATTGTTGAAATGTGGATACATATACACGGTACCAGTAAGTAATTAAACTTTTTCAAACAATTTTAGACATTTAAAAACAAGTAAATGTGCAGAGAGTGCAGAAGTTTGTGCATCACTTTTCTTGGCCTGGAATTCTTCAAACAGGACAGGATAGGTTTGGTAGGACACCCTCAGATTCTCAACTTTGTTTAGGTAGTTGCTTGTTGTGATTCACCTGTGAAATTATTATTTCAAAAATAAATATAACAAAATGTAGTAATGATGTAACTGATCATTCAATGTCAAGCTAAGCAAATAAAGGAATAGATAATATAAAATTAAAACAAGAGGCCCAGTGGCCACATCGCTCACCTGAGCACTATGGCTAGGAAAAAGCAGAAATCAGTTTAGTCTTGAAAGGTTGAAAAGTTTAAATATAAAAGTGGTTTGGGGGGGGGGGGGATATGAATTGAACAAATTTGAATCTACATTACCTGAGGATGCTTCCATTTAAATATGACCAATCATGGCTTTGCTGTTCTTGAGTAGAAGATTTTTAAAGATTTTTCCTATGTATTCCTATGTAAAACTTTGAACAACCATTGTGGCCCCACCCGACCCCCGGGGGTCATGATTTGAACAAACTTGAATGTACACTATCTGAGGATGCTTCCACATAAGTTTCATATTTTCAAGCTCAGTGGTTCTTGAGAAGAAGATTTTTTAAAGATGCCATTAATTTTTCACAAATTCATAACTATCTCCCCTTGGAAGAAGGTGTGGCCCTTCATTTGAACAAATTTGAATCCCCTTTACCCAAGGATACTTTGTGGCAAGTTTGGTTGAAATTGGCCCAGTGGTTCTGGAGAAGAAGTCGAAAATGTGAAAAGTTTACAGATGGACAGACAGACAGACTACAGACAAAATGTGATCAGAAAAGCTCACTTGAGCCTTCGGCTCAGGTGAGCTAAAAATATGAAAGTGAGAGAGGGCCAAACTGAGGGTTTAATTATTAATTCATAATGGAAGTAAACAAGCTTGAAAGACACACAATTCAATCTTAGAAGATGTACCTGGTATTTCTTAAATTTTAAGTTCATTTACAGTGTATGTAGGTGTCAACCTTTCATCAACTACTTCTGTATATAATATTGAAGGGTTTTAATTTGTAAGACAGAGTGAATTAAAGTTATACATGTATTTATTTATGTGTATTTAACACATCACCATAAATGTGATGACGCAGAATGGTCTACAAACAAACTTATTTTGTGTGATCTCATAAACTACATGTGTCTTCCTTCTGTGGCCTGAATCACGTAGAAAATTTGAAAGCTAAGGATATTATAAAGAGAACTAATATTGTTGACTGAGTTATATCCCACTCCCATATAAATGTTCAATGAAATCGATTCATAGTGATTGGACCCTTACAACTATAGTTGTCTTTCTGAAATGGACAATTCCTCTGTGTAACATTTTTTTTTTAAGTAATGAGGTAAATCAAAGATTGTTAAACAGATGGAATTCATTAAGATATGATTAATACATTTTATTAATATTTAGTCATGCAATCAGTAAGAATAAATACCTGTTGGCTCTCTATTCCCTTAGGAATACACCAGGTCTAGAGCACAGTCCTTAGTTAGCTTAGAGTACATTGATCAATCTCAGCTTTACACTAGCTGGCATTATGACAAAGGAGGGGACACAACTCAGATGTCTCAACCTGCAACACACAAATTATTTGAAGTGACCTGTTTTACACTATATCAGAGATAAAAAAGAATCTCCCAGTCATGGTTACTTTATGGAAGGTATACTCAATGAATTGTACCATAATCACTGAAACTGCTTTCTGTCAATACCAAGCAGCCAATTTCTGGCAAAAAATTATTTACACCTTTTGCATTTAAATAAAATTAAATGAAAAGTGATTTGGAATATTACTGGTATGTACCCTAAATGACTGCACTGAACCGTAAACTTTGCTTAATTTCAGAAATATTTGATTTCAAAAATATTAAAAAAAAATTCTGAGGAATTGTCAGAGAATGTACATGTACCATGATAGATTAATTTTGCTGGGAAATGAAAACAAAGACCAAAGGGCATGGATTTTATTTTACAAACTAGATGTGTGTGGTAACACCACAAATGCCCCCGCAGACAGCCAAAATTTCAAATTGCAAATTCTAAATTTGTAGCCAAGATAATGATTAGAAATTGAGAATTTTTAAATCTTTTCCAAGTTCAAGGGGGATAACTGTCAATACCATGACCAAATTCAAATTTGACCTGCATATTCCTATGACGTATCCATATATCAAATTTGAGTTGAATGTGTACAACTGTTGCCGAGATAATGAACGGAAATTCAATGATGACGGAATGAAAGAATGACGGAACAGGGTAACACTATATGCCCCCCAACCATTTTATGGCGGGGGCATAAAAATTCTGAAGATTAAGGGGTACCTATATTCTCCTACATTTCAGATGACAAGGAAAGTATTTCTATTCTGCTAAGGCAAATTTTCAAACTTCTAAAAAAAAAAAACAAGTTCAAGCTATAGATTTCCATAAAAGAAGTGTTGCAATTATGACTTGGCAATCCATTATTATAATTTTTATTTCCATTTCACACAATAGAATTTGCATCAAAATCAAAGAATGTCTTGATCCCTTTCCTTTAGTGAGAGCAAAAAAAAATTAAAATTAGACCCAACTAGATCGCAATGTGTAGCAATCTTGTTGGAGCGGAATAAAGATCTACATGTAATTTTAGTTAGACTGAATTTATTTAAATTTGTTAATTTTTTGTGCGATTTATTGAAAGATAATGACTAGCGCATATTATTGATCTTTGCAATCAATCAGAGTTCAGCTTATTGTATAAAAGACAAGAGACAAAATGTACATAATTAAACCACAGGTGCTTCAAGGGAACAGGAACACGACCCACCCCAACCCTCTAAAATTTTGGGCTTCCCGAGTTATTTTTTTATTTATTTTTTTAAGCATATATGTTGATGTATATTGCACTATAAAAATTCACAATTAATGCATTAATAAGCTATGTATAAAAATATACCAATGATATAAATAGAGAGGTTATTTATATTTTTTTTGGGGGGGGATACATCAGATACCAGAGACATATATATCTCTGGATACATACACATGTATGACTTATTGCATCAACTGTGAATTTTTATAGTGCATTATACATCAACAAATGGGGGGGGGGGGGGTCCTGTGCATTAAACCATGAGCATCAGAACCTAATGGGGCTAATTGTAGAATTGCTGGTGGTTGGCTGGGAGCAAATCTCCCCACTTTTTTCTACAAAACAACATTAATTACGCCCAATAAAAATATTCAGCAAAAATTCACTGTTCAACGGAATAGACCCCCACCCGATTTCTCCAACTTGATTTCGACGAGGATGTTAATTAAAGTAGTCTTTAATTTTGACCTATTTAACAATATAACTTAAATAAATATGACAAGTAATTCAGTGTTGTCTAGATTTAAAATTAGAAACAGCTGATTATTTCAAAAGCTGAGAAAATTCGGTCCATCGCAGTTGAGATTATTGCTAGCCTACTTTCGTTTTCCTGAATATAAAACTTAAGCATGTTTATCAACAAAGTAGTCATTATCCTTTTGTTGTTTCAAACAAGGGATTTAGCAGTTCTTTCTACATACTTCATTCTGGGATTGGGCGGTGTACCAGTGAAAACTGTCGCTAGTGCTCAGAGTCGCTCTAAAAATAGAAATCCCAAGCGGTAGCCTTGCAATTCGCTACTCGTATAATTATACCCAAAGATAGTTAATATGTTGACGGTGCGACCGTTGGGGCGAGCGCATTGTTCACTTCATTTTAAGACCCGCCTCTTCAAACCGCACGAGACATTTGGAACGTCTTAGACTGTGACGTCACATGACGTCGTACGTTAGCTGCATTTAAAAAGTGCAAATATTTTAACAAAGAACGTTTAATCGGTGTCCAGTCACTTCGTACACAAACCGAGTCGTACACAAACCAACTCGTATACAAAAAGTCAACTCGTACACAAAAACCAGAAGTCAACTCGTACACAACATTTATATACAATCGTTATGATTTAATTTTATACAAATAATGTTTGATAACACGAAGTGTTACTTTTCTTTAAGTTTTTTTCCCTAAATATTTAAATAATTCAACTTCCCTGATAGGATAGGAACATCAAAGACATCAAAGAAGTATTGTTAAACCAACACCCGCGCGGTGGTTTCTTGGATCTGCGGAAAACGCTAATTACGAGATGCTCATAATTCGGTATCCTTTAATTATGAGATACTATATGTATCGAAAACGTCTCCAAGTTTCTTCATTCCTTATACTTCACCATGGTTCGAGAGAGTTGTCTTTCCTGCAGCAAGACGGTAAGTTTTTAAAACTTTTTTCGTTTAAATAAGTTTAGATAAGTGCAAGAAAAATGTGTTATACAGTATACCATTAAATTCTTACCATGTATTTAGATCGAATTTACTATCTACACTATATATCTATTTAACATAATAAATTAGGATGCTATAAAATATTATATTCTACATCAACATGCATTACTTGCATAACAGAAAACTTTTTAGAAATATAAAAACTACGTATATCAATTCTGTTGACAATTAGAAATCCATTTGAATTAAGTTTTTCAACTACATATTTAACAAATTTACAATATAAGAATTATTTAAGATAATTCCGTTTATTTAAGAATTAATTTAAGAATTAAGAATGAATTTGACAATCTTGATTTAGTTAACTCATGTGCCAAAATGTTGATACAATTAGAGAATATGTTATAGTTAAGCAATGTGTCTTTGATGTGTATAGCCAATTAAGATTAAGATCTATAAATATATATATACACATGTACTAGTTAAAAATGTACAGAAAACACATTTGTGTACGAGTTGACTTCTCAATTTTTTTGGAAACTATGGCAAATATTACCTTAAATCACATAGGAAAACGTATGTATGAGTTGTGTACGAGTTGACTTCTGGTTTGTATACGAGTTGACTTTTTTTTGTGTACGAGTTGACTTTTTGTATACGAGTTGGTTTGTGTACGACTCGGTTTGTGTACGAAGTGACTGTAAATCGTTTAATCTACTATCTGCATGCAATAGCCATTAATTAAGGTGAGTTTATTTTTTGTGAAATTTTAGTTGTTGTCACCGCGTGAACGAAGTTAGCAGCGAGAACAAGAAGCGATGCATTGTGGGTCAGAATTACTGCGGAAAAAAATTCTATTGAATGAATGTGCAGTAGTCCGAATTTTCTCTTCGCCCAGGCGTTGTCGTTAGAGCTCGCAGTGACGAGCGGCGCTTTGCGCCGCTCGCTGCGCTCGCTATAACCACGTAATATAGATGTTATTGGTGTTTAAAATGAAACATTTTGAAGCAAAAAAAGTTATAACACTCTTGAACAATTCTGTTTTATTCAATATTTACTTCAAAAATTCTGAAAATAAGTGTATGGTCATTTCTTAATTGACATCGCGATCGGCATGTGGGCTTCGTTTATCTTCATCTCTTACGTGAGAAGTTGGACAATTTGACTAATTAAATTAAATATTTAGACAGTTTATAACCTCTTATTGAAAAAAGGCAACAACAGAATCGTACGAGGAATTATGTTTTGAATCGTCGAGATCGGCATCCAACTTTTATTAGGCAATAGGCGGCACGTCGATTTACCCAAATGGAACACAAATGGACCCAAATGGACCCAAATGGAAATCAAAATGGACCCAAATGGAAATCAAATGGACCCAAATGGAAATCGAATGCAATATTAAATATATATATTATCGTATTATCAAGTTGTTACAATACTTATTTAAAGTGATGAAAATAATGAACTTACAAATGGAGAATATTAATGAATTATTCATTTCTAATATTGTATTTTAAATACGAATGAATTTTCTTTAGTATTATATATATATATATATCGGCAAAATTATGGGGGGGGGGGGGCACAGGCCCCGTGCTACACCCCCCCCCCCCCCCCCCCCCCCCCCCGGTTCCTACGGCCATGAAAACTATATAAATTTTAAAATGAAATACTTCAATTTTATATTCAATGATATGCAATAGTTATTACAAAATGAAAAAAAAAATCAATTTGTATTTTAAAATACAATATTAGAAATGAATAATTAAATATTCTCCATTTGCAAGTTCATTATTTTCAACATTTTAAATGAGTAACAACTTGAGAATACGATAATATATGTTTAATATTCCATTTGGGTCCATTTGGGTTTCCATTTGGGTCCATTTGGGTTCCATTTGGGTCCATTTGGTTCCATTTGGGTTCCATTTGGGTCCATTTGGGTAAATCGACGCACCCGGCAATAGGCAACCGCATACGAATCGGCATGTATTATGATTTGTAAAGTCGATTTATTGTAAGTAAGACAGTGTTTTAAAAGATAAAATAAGAATAATTATCTTATTTTATTAGCGATAAGTTCATTGTAAGCACGAATAAATTTAAATCTTGATCACACAAGTCTAATGCTAATTCGAAACAAAGTTGTGACGCGAATTTCCTCTATTGTGTTTATAACACTAAAAAGCACTGACTTTTTTCATATAATTTAGGACTACTGGTGATTTTTTCTAAATAGGTGCTTAAGTGTTTATTAAATTAAAATTCTCTGCAATTAATTATGAATTTAAAGCAGTTTTTCATCATATTTTGTGGTTATAGATTATAGAAGGATTCCCTTCGACTAATTTTCATTAATATATCCCAACTCAGTATCTACATGTATGATAACTGATGATGAATCATTAGATGACCACTTTGTACAAGTATAATAATAACTATCCATCAAAGTTATGTATGTAAGTTGATAATATGTGTTTTGACTGAATTCATTTTACATTTCTAAGTATGGTCATCATGTCTATAGATATCTGGCTTTGTTCAGTTATGATATAGGCATTGGAGACATTTATTAAACTAAATAAGTAGATACAATGTCAGTGAATTATTGTTAGGGTGGGGATGGGGAGTTTAACCTTCTTTACAGTCAATTATTAAACTTCAGTCTGAAGTTTATGAACCTCAGGGTCCACACTGAATATATAAGCTAAGTAAATATATAACCAGATAATATGTTGTAAAATCAGCTTGCACATGCACTACAATGCTGGACAAGTCACCCCTAAGACAGCTCTCCTGTAGAACAATTCACATTGACAATCACCTTTGATTCAAAGAACTTGGCCACTGTTTGGACAATTTTCCACCTTCTCAGACAACTCGAGCGCTTTGTAGCTATTTTATGCTACACTTAAAGCAAAATAGATTACATCATTTTATTGTGATTCATGGATGACCTCCTTTTCATTCTGAAGTTATATGTCAAGACTACATACTATGAATAATGGATTTGATGAACATTTGATATCCAGACCAATATTGTTTATTTAAAACAGCTTAATTTAACAAAGCGACATTTTGATTGTAAAATTTCTGTTAGAAACATGGTGCTTAAGATGATAATTTATTACAACCAATGTCTTAAAAGTAGAAATCAAAAGCAGGGAAAAAAAGTAAAAGAAAGGGCACAAAAAGAATACAGATACAATAAATAAATTTTCCCTGAAAATGTAAAATGTTAATAATTAAATGGTTCGATGCAGTCTCTTCTCCCATAAATTGTTAAATCTGATGCACTTAATCAAACTGATGATGGGAGTCATTATCCAGTAGTTTAACTGTAGTGTTATTCCTAATTTAATAATTAAATTACTTTTTTTTCACTACAACATTTGTTTGTATTCTTAGTACCTGTATTTAAGATTACAGGGGTATATTGATTAAAGTGAGATTATCTTTATGAGGTAGTAACATTTTTGAAAATTCTCTCCTCATATCAATCCCTACTTTAGATGAATGCAAGAGTATTTTATATCAGATTGATATTTAAAGATAGAGAATTTTGTCCAATTAGGAATTGAACACCTTAATTAATTAAAGCTTCTTATGTCTTATTTGTCTCAGTTCACCCAGCTGAAAATGAATACCGGTATACTGAAAGTTGGAAGTAATAGACCTCTGATGATCTATGTCCCTTCCATAGAGAGTCTCTAAGTCTATGATCTTCATCTGCTTAGCACAAAAGAAACTGGTTATGAATCACCAGCCCTATGTCAGCCCCTTACCTTGAAAAAATTTAAACTGTTGAAAACATCCAAAAGAATATTTTTATTTTAATTTAATAGTAGAAATATTTGTGGAGGTCAGGTGGGTTCGATAGCTCAGTTGGTAAAACTTCTGACTGGAGATTCAGGGGGCCCGGGTTTGAATCCCTGTCTGGTCTGTCAGATTTTTCTCCTTTCCTGTTACATATTTAAGAAAAAAATATATCAAGAAATAGCAGAGCCACAGTTAGTCATACTGATTTGCAAACATCATCAGGTACCACTACCAGTAGTATGGATTCAACTCTGTTCAGATCATGCCCAGGATGGTAGGTGCATATGAAAGATCTCATAGAGGAATATACAGGAAAATTCAGGATTTTTTTTTTTAAATATTCTTATCATATTGGGTGCCAAATGTAACAGGTGGTGAAAAATCAAGTTTCAAGAGGGACTCAACCCAGGGTCTTTGGCATACATGTACCGTGGCTCTAACCACTGAGCAAGTGAGACCCCATATATTGACCAACTTTCACACATCTTTTAAACCGAGACATTATTAACATCAGGACTATAAGTGATATTAAATAATATGCAAGCATCCTCAAGTAGGGCAGTTTGAATATATCTCCAGGGTAGAGTTGGAGTGGCAATATTCTTGAAGAATAAAAGCTTTATTCAGGAATATGTCAGAAAAATCTTCTCTCAAACTGAAA